ACTTCCCTTGAAGGAATGCTGTAGTGTATCCTGTCAGGAAACTTTACAGGGCAAAATGATTCCAGTGCTCCCACTTTCAGTGGTGTGTTTCTGGAGCACTTATATTTCAGGACTACAAACTAACTTTTTTAGTCTAAGCCCAATGCCAAGATGGAAACTGCCTTTTAAGAAACAGATTCTTTTCTATTTTTTGTTTCCTTGTATAACATTCTAGTTCATTACAGTGCACTGGTTAAATTCAAACTTAATATTACATTAGACTACAGTATAGCTTAAAATACTTCCAGAACTTAAAAGTTTCTGAGACCCCTTTTTTGCTATATTTGCCAAGTTATTCATCATATCCTGCTCACTGTAAGGTTTACTGTAAAAACCATGAATTCTGGCTGACAAGTAGCCAGGCTGTTTTCTCTGGCAGACAGCTATCCTATTAATACCTACAGCTGGGATGTTTATTCCACACATTTAGAACCAGTTCTCACTGAGTGTGCCCAGTTTTATCATCTGAGGTGTAACATCAGAAGTGCAGCCACTCAGACCAGTAAGCATATTTTAGTTTATGGTGATGTCCTCTTTAATGATCTTAGGAGTATTTCCCCAAAGAGTATTAATTTACACTCTTTTTTAAGGGATGGGACGAGGGAATAAGAGAACTTCTCCAGCCATCCAGGCTCAATGTAGCTCTTTCTGAGGTAAAATCTCAGATTTTCCAGTCAGTACTAATGGAGGATGTTTTTTTTTTATGTGTATGTCCATATACAAGGTTTGGAAACAAAACAGGTGTTCCTTAAAAACTAGTGGCAAGAAAAAGACAAAGTATTTTTTGACCTGATTCTGGTACAACACATAGGAAGGGCCTCTGCTGCAACAAATCAAGGGGAGGGGTGAAGGATAGTATAGGATAGTGTGCCGCCTGCAACCCTGTGCCAGCCCTCCACCTTCTTTTGCTCTGGTATGTCCAGCCTTTACTCAGTTTGCTCCACAGTGGCAGAGTTACTTCACTGGCTGTGTACACATATTCAGATGATCAAAAACAGCTCCCTAGGGTTTGTTCTCTTGGTAGAAAAACTTATCTAGAAATGCCTGAACAGACGTTTGAATGCTGAGCCCGTGAAGAACAGAGAGCTTGCAGTCCTGACTCTGTGCATCCAGAGGGTCCCTGTGCACACATCTCAGCATGGCTCCAGGCTTCCTCAGTCTACCTGGAGACAGATGATAGAGGTGCACAGGGCAGCCATGTTTGGCTAACACAGACTGCTCAGGTCAGCTTGCGTCTCCCTGAAGCACAACGTGGGATTATGATGGGGTTATGTTCTGATCATTGCTTAGCTGGAACAATAATGTCCAGCATAAACGATACATTGTCTCCAGGGGTGAGAGGTAGTGCTAGAGCAGAGCACCCTTGGGAGAGGTGGTGCTAGAGTAGAGCACCCTGGGATACTGGAAGACTGTTCTGTGGCTTTTCTTAGAAGAGCACATGTACAGGCATTCACTGTCCCAGGAAACACTCCTCAAGGAGTGATTTAACTCTAATTGTTCCAAGGTTATTCTCCTTCCAAAACAACCATTTTTGGTCTGCAAAAAACATCTTGAACATCTAGGTACTCATGGTTTCCCCTGGGAAAGCGGCAACTCTCCCAATAAAAATCAAATGTCTATACATAGCCAGTGTGCTCTGTGTGCAGAAGAATAGTACAGCAGAGGGGTCTAGCCTTTATGACCTTCAGAATCCTTCAGATTCTACCCTACATTATGTTACTTGGAAGAAATCTGATTTCTAAAAATGTAGTTAAAATGCAATAAAGAGTACAAAATCATGTACTGATGATTGGAACCTACGTTTATCATCCAAGTGCTGATTTTGTGTTTTGTTTTTAAATAGAAAGTAGTGTCCATTAAAGTAGCACATAATGGAATATAATATAGAAACTAAATAGGAAACTTGAAAGTTTGAACAAGCATCTGTTTTTTTGGTAGAATATTTCTACGTGCATTCCATTTAGTCACAACTCTCCTTCTTACTCAATAATAAAAATGTAAGCTATAAAAGTTTCAGGGACAAGGCAAAGGGCCTTGGTAGGCTAAAGAGTGAAATGAGTGTCTGTGACTGGTGCTAAGCAGACCATCCTGGAGTCAGGCATCTCTCAGTAAAACAAGCACAGTAACAAAGAGGGACAACTGCAGTGTAATCTCCAAATTACGTTTCCAGTGGGGTTGAACCCTGAAGGGAGGGCATGTTAGAACAGGTGAGAGTGTTATGAATCTTCTTAGCTGAAATTGCTGATGTGAGAAGGCCTCTGTTCAAAATAAGTAAATAAATACAACACTCTTAAAATTATTTTTGCACAATTAATTCAGCTCTGTTTCTTGCCTTTCCATGTAATATGGTTTTTAAATATATTTTTTAAAATTTTATGTGTGTGGAGAAAATATCACTCTTGTTTAAATCAGTTACCAGTTATGTTAGAGTTACACTGCATGAAAAATTTCTACGAGGCATGCAACAGGTTCCGGTTCTGTTTTGATTTATACACATGGTTTCATTTCACTGGATTAATCATGTGGTAACCAGTTCACCACATCATCTATTGTTTTTTAATAGAGTAGATTCATGCAAGATTTCAGAAACTTCCTTGTGAAATTACTTGGTTTAGATTTGTACTATCATTTAGGAACTGACACTTCTTCAGTGGTTACCTGTGAAGTTCCAGGTGAAAGTATTAACTTTTAGAATGTCTTAATCTGAAAAAATGGAACTTTCCTTTGAACTGTCCAGATCCCTAAAAAGTATAGGTTCTGTGTATGTGTTTAAGATACCAGTTAAAGACTGCCAATGAAGTTATACTTTAATAAAATAAAAGAAGGTACCAAGCCATGGTATATGGTATCTTAGAGTTTAAGAAATTATGTGGCATCTTTTTAGAATTTTCAGTGGATTATTTTCATACTTCTTTTCTCTTGCAATTTAATGAGTCTATTCAGATTATTTTTTCTTTCCATTTGGTAAACGTTTTTCAACTATATCCCTATTAGACTATATTCTGCTGCTCCTTCTGCTGCTCTTTCTCTTTCTCTTTCTTCATTTTAGTCAGCAGTTTCTTTATAAGTTTGACACTGTGCAAAAACATATGGTCTTGTTCTGAAGGGAGATCTGGAGATCTACCAGATTTGGGATTGACTCTTTTGACCTTTCTAGATAGAAGGTCAAAATCAGAGCCATTCCCAAATTTTATGTGGGACCTCTGCAAGGTGCTTCTCAGATTCCTTTCCTTAGAGCAACCTTCTGCATATTTTACCATGAGAAGGATGATCAGGATTCAGAAGTGGGTTTTTTTTTTACTTTTTTATGGAGCACAACATTCTTATATTCACTTAGAACCCAAGTGCATAAAAGCATACTGAGCCAAAATCATCAAGCTTTGCCTGGCTTTGGGTTTAAACCATACAAACCCCACAGTTTCATGTGGTTTTAAGTGGAAAACATAAGTCAGCCCAAGTTGGTTGGAAACTTGGCCCAAGCTTGATTTAGAATGTATCCCAGGTTTAATACAAAAACTGAAACTTGCAACTTTTAAGTTGGCTGCAGGTGGCATTAAGAGAGTTCCTCAGAGCTCTAACATACAGAGGTCAACATAAAAAATATGGCTGGAATTACCTACAAAAATAACTCTAAATATAAAAGAACATTAAGGTAGCAAAGTCAAGTACTCAACAGTTAGGCAACATTTGATGTTTGAAACAGGTCCTATGTGCATGTGAATTACTTTAAAGATTGCATACTGTTTTTATTACTTTTCCCATTTCTTCCACACCAGCCTATTTTGTGCTTCTCTCATCCCAGCATTCCATTCCTCTTTCTCTTCTTCCTCCTCACTGCATGTCCACCATCTGAGGCCATGTTGTTCTGGTTTATGTGCTCATTTTTGGTAACCAGTGAACACCTGCATGCAGGCTTTGGTCAGAACTTGCTTCTGGGAATTGGTTTTCTTAGTTCATGTTCATGTCTCAGTTCCATGCAAAATTGTTTCAGTATTGAGGTGAGATGATTGATTTCAGTGGAAATGACTATTTGAATAAATACTGTTTATATGAAAGAATGCAAGATGAGTTCATGCTTCTAAAGAAAATTATCCAAATTTATGTGTTGCTTGAGCATGGCAAAAGGGCTGGAAAGCAACTGGATCAGATCCATGTAGCTAAGAATTCTTGCAGCGTGGGAGAGCAGTCCTTGTATCACCTTTCCCTTTATAATCCAGAGTAGGAGCATGGGCTGTAAGAAACTGCATTTCACCTATATTCAGTTGTTGTGTGGTACCTCTGGCATCCGCAAATGCATTTGGCATCACCAGATAAAACTGATCAGCTGCGCTGGGATGTGTCATGATCCACTTCTTTGTAGAGGAGGAAAGCTGTGGGAAAGCTGCATAGGCACTCCAGACATTTGAGGGGCCTGATCCTGAGTGAGAATTTCTTGGTGTGCAGGACTGGGCTCCTCAAGCTTCTGGGCCACTGTGTAGGGAGGTTGGTGAGTGTGGGTAGCTCTGGCCTGCCTAAGCTCTCTTGGCACAAAGAAAATAGACATCCATCACTAAATAGCAGCACAAATTAATACCCCCCTTTGTTGCAGCTACATATTTTAGGCATTTGTGCTGCAACAAGGGGCAAGGACATCTCTTTACTTGGCTTCTGTGCCTCAGTAAAAAAGTTAAGTATAAAAGTAGCTTCCAGATTGCTCTACTCTGCTCTAGAGTTTAGCATGGTAGAGGACTGAAACATACAGGAAAGTCAACATTGTGTATGAGCCGCCTGTTTTAAACAGACCGGCTGTAAGTGCTCCGCAACCACAAGTGTTCCATTGCTGAGTTTTGGACAACTGCAATGCATTATTAAATCTGAACTTTATACTAACTGCGTGTAATGCCTTTCATTAGAAAAAAATCTCTTAAAACCTTATATACAAATATTTAGTTGATTGATTAATTGATTTCCTCTTTGAACAGATATTGATGAATGCAGCATCATTCCAGGAATCTGTGAAGGTGGTGAGTGTTCTAACACTGTTGGAAGTTATTTCTGTATCTGTCCACGTGGCTATGTCTCATCTACAGATGGCTCCCGCTGCATTGGTAAGTATACCATTCTATGGGCTTTTGGGACGTTTTCAAGACAGGTTGTGTCATTACTGCAGTCTGTAAGCTTGGTACATGCCCACCTTAAAAGTTAACTTTTTTTTCCAGGAACCCACAGATGTGCACAGACTTACTGGTTTTTGTGTCACAACTCCAGCGTCCATTCAGCTATTCCACTCTGCTTTTCCTTTTAGAGTGCCACAGCTGAAAGTAGTTTTTGGGAGTACAGATTTCTCCTTATGGGCTGTCGTATAGTATTCCCCTTCCTGGTGCATTAAATATATCATATTTACTTAAATAGAAGATGAGGTTTTCTCTCCTCAGTCAGCATGGGGCAAAAGCCACTTATCTTATAATCACACATAAAGAAACCTCATTAAACAGATTATCTATCTTTAAACTGCTGCCAAAGGCAGCATGTGCCCAGTAATGGAAACCAACTACAAAGCTAATTAAATATAGCCAGCACTGAGCATGACTGTAAAACATATTGTCCACATGGGGTAAGCATACTAATGTATATGACAAGGATAGGTTAGCATAATCCGTTTAAATAAGATATACGGTAATGCCCGTAGCATGCTATCCTCCACAGCACCAACTCTTTTTCAAGTCATGGTGAACCACTACATTAAATACATTTCAACTTCTTCACTCCCACAGCTGAGCTGCACCTTTCTTTCCCATTTCCACTGATTCCTGTTGCTTCACCAGCCTTAAATGGCTGGAAAACATCACCAAATGGGGCCTGAAATGATTCACCTGGAATCTCTGTCACCCCTTGAGCCTGGCATGTATGATTAGTATAGCCCCACCCTCCATGAGGTGGAGCTGGGCCAGGTTTCCCTGTGCCTCATCTGCATATACATTTTTGGAGCATCCCAGGGATTCTGGCAAAAACACCCAGTTCCAGTGCTGAGTGGGGGCTAATTGGCACAAGGGTCTTTGTGTGTGTGGTGGGGGGTTTCTGGAGTATACACAAACATACAGAGCAGTGCCAATCTGTGTGGTCACCATGGCTTGAAATGGTGACCACACAGGTTGTCTACCTACAGTTGCCTGAGGGCCATTTCAGTGTTGTCCCATTTCTCCTTCCTAAGCAGGCTTCTCACATTCACTGAAGCTATAAGGATCCCCATGAGCAAAAATGTGCTGGGGGGGGTTGGGCCTGTAGCTTTCTCATTTCTCTTGTTTAAGCTTAGAGGTTTTCAGGCTCTCTTCCCTCTCCTGACCCATCTGTTCCATCTGTTTGTGGGCCCCTTTCTGGGATCATGGCCACTTCTGCTGTCTGGTCTATGTTTGAGGGAACCTGGCTTTCTTCTGGTAGCTTTTGTTGAACCCAAAGGCAAAACTCGCATTGATTACAAAGAAGCAAGATTGTATTCTTACTTAATATTTCAAGATTTATCTTAGGTAGGCATAATTAACTTCTAAATGCAAATATTAGAAAGGCAGTCATAAACTTAGAAGATCTCTAGAGGAAATGTAATTAATTAGTATTTAATTTAGCTGGAGTGGGTTTTTCCCTTTGTAAGAATAAAGCAAGTATCAAATTTCACTACAGTAAAGCTCTGTGGATCTGACTTCTAAACATCTGTATCTTTTTTACAGTCAGTGTGGTTTTAGATCTGGTAATACGTATCACACATTTCTTCACTGTTTTATACCTGTGTGTATACCAAATGTATGGAGTTTTAAATGTGATGATAATTTGATTAAGATAGCATTCATTCTGTGCAAGAAACCATTAGCTGTTATTGAACAGTCTTCTGTCATTTATAAAACAATTTTTTGAGGTGATCTTGAAACTAATATATATGAAACTGCTCATCCTCAGGATAATGCAGCTGCAGTTTGATATACCACATCTTTAAAAAGGTAGTGTAATGGTTTTCCCGCTAATAGCATGCTTAATAAGGCATCTCTGATGATATAATACTATAAGAAAAGAAAAGTCTGTTGTGTTCAAAGAGAAAAAAGGGAGTTAGACACAATGCCCATTGAATTTTAACCTTGGCCTTCTCATAAATTAATAAACATAATAAGTAGCTCTTATATAGGGCTTTTCCTCCACTGTTCTAAAAAAAATCAGAGTTTTTATCACCATGTTACAGATGGGGAAACTGAAGCACAGAGGGATGAATTGATTACAGCAGACTAGTGGTGATTTAGTTCCACATTGTTTGCAAGTGATTCTATGCATGTAGTTTTCTGCACTCACAAGGAAGGACCACTGAAGTCCACATTTTTTGTTCATATTAGTTTTTGAATGTTAGCCTTCAATCACTTGTGCCTCATTTCAGACATACCAAGGATCTATGGCTTCTAACGTCTTCAGTCAGAAGTAGTTTTTCAGTAACTATAAAAATGAAGTGTCTAAATTAAGCACTCAGTATCTGCACTGCCCAATATTAGTGATATTTCTGAAAATATCTAGGCCACCACTTTGCAAGTTATACCACTTGGGAAAATTGCTGCAATCAGCCCAGCAGCCAGGAGCTGTGTGGTGCTGGCCCAGCCAAGCTGGAGCCAGAGTGGGAAGCAGCAGTGGTGCAGGGAGTGGTGGGGTGGGCCTGCAGGAGGGAAAGCAAGGAAACAGCAGGGGAGTGGTGGCTGCGGGCAAGTCCAGAGCCCATGCCAGTACCCTGGAATGGGCGGAGACCCAGGGTGGGGTGGCAGGAGTGGAGCCTGGGTGTTGGGGTCACATGAGATTCGCACATAGTCCACGACAGCCGCACATGATGGAGTCAGCAGCCTGGCCCCATCTCTCTCTTTCTCTCCCACTCACCATAACCCCACATCCTCCCACATCTCCCACCCCAGCCACATAGTCCATACCCACCCACCATACCCAGACACTGCACCCCCCCACACCTTACCACATACCCCCACATACTCCCCAAACACACCCTGCACATACATTCCCAGTAGGACTGTATTTTGAGCTATTTTGCAATCACCTCTAGATATACTTTGCAAGCATATAAATCGGTACAAAAATATTTTTAAATAAAATAAATTACAATAGAAGTTTGGGGTTTTTTTGGTATATGATTTGGGTTTTTTCTGGTTTCAAGATTGCAGCACCCTCCCTCCCAAAAGAAGCACTTCCAGGGCAAGGAAAGGGACTTCCAGTGGCAAAGGTCAGGGGTTAGGGGGTGGGACTTCCAGTCCAATATGGTGACTAGGGGCGGCAGGGCTACCTTTGTGGCCCTCGACTGCTCGCCAAAACTTGCTAAGGCCTTTCACACAAAATAATTGCCTGCCCCTGGAATAGAGACTGCTCAGGAAGGATATAAGTGGCAGATACTAAATTATTATATAAGTGTCCTATATTGTGTAATAATCAAAGGCCACATTTTTTAAGTTATACTATAAACCATTTGGCACAAAAAACTAAGGTGTCTAATGTCTAAGCTAAAGTGTCTCATGTCTAATTATGGGAACACACCAACTCTTAGGTAGGGTTAATCCTGCCCAGTCCATGCACAGGATTTGTTAACCAAACATTTTGCTATAAGCAAAGCAAGAAGGGTTGGATAAGTCTATTGTATATCATTTAGATGCTTAGTCTTGAAAACTTTCTGTAAACATCCTGATCTTCAAACCAAAATAGCTTACTGGGAGAAATAATATAATGATATTAGTATTACAAATCAGTTGATTCAGCTTAATTCCTTAAAACACTGAGCAGGAAATATATCTATTTTTGTCTTTTTTTAAAAGGAAATATTTTTTTACTTACATTATAATAACTATTGTCTATCCACTTATTGATAGTATAATACCGAAGTAGACCATCTCAAATTTTTAGTAGCTCATAACTGATTTTGGTTGTATTCATTTTTTCCTGTGGTCCTGTCCTGCTGCTCTTACCCAAGTTAAGTAATATCTTCCTTAGATTTCAGTCCCACTGATTTCAGCAGCACAATTGGGCAGAAGCATAACTGGTCAGTATTATACTCTGAGCAGCAGCAGTGCATGCTGCAATGGCAGAGATCCTCTGCTGCTGGGGGTGAAATATCTTCCCTTTTTGCCATCAACATGCACATCAAGCAACCGAAACCCATCAGCTTTCAGCTGCAAAAAAGGAGGCAGCATCCCTCCCAGCAGCAGCAAATCTCCTACTGCACACCTCAGTCACTTCTCTGCCCTTTCACTGCTCAAGCTGGAGAGATAATCACTTCAGGGACGGTGCAGGTGCAGGAGGAAAGGAAAGTAGGGACAGGGGACAGGAGGGTGAGCATCACTCAGGTCTATTTTGTACATATCTCGATTTAGGCAGCACATAAGGCTTGTGCTATGCTTCCCCACCTGGTAGTTGCATCTCCATATGTGCTGTAATGTGCAGTAGCTTATTTTACTGCATATTAAAGCATCATGTAAAAAAAGTGATTAAGCTAATGCTTGGTAAAATAGGCTACTGTTCATTAAGCATCACTTAAAAACTGTATGCATTCATTACTGCACATTAAGGCAGCCTGATGTGCATTTGTTTAGTGCCTCACATTGTAGGTACTAAATTTAATGTGCGTTAAGAAAAGCACCTTAATGTCCATGTAGATGCTCCCATTGTTACATAGGCCTGATATTGGGCTCAATTATGCATCTGTAGTTTTCATCTCTTTGTAAAGGACATCAGTTTAGTTGTCCCAGGAGCAGCATAGCAAGGAATCCAGCTTTGGAGACTCCAAAATATGGTATACTATCACTGCCTATCCAGGACTTCTAGAGAATGAATCCAAGGCTGTACCACTCTACATATATGTTATAGTAGGGGAATGGCATACACACAGCATATGTTTACCCTAACAACCCAGACCCATGGTCTGAGGAGGCTGTGCAGGTGTATATGTGGAGAGTAGGAGGTTCTTCACTCTTCCTAATGTTCCAGTGTTGGCTCCACAGTCTTTGTCACGTTTTGGCTAATAGAGATTAAATACAAGTGCCTATAAAGGGTTTTATCATTGTCAAAGCTCAAGAAAAGAAGATGAGTTTTATGATTACATTTTGAATTAATGCACGATTAGTGTACCTGAAACAGTAGCTAATGAGTTGACTGCATTTCAATTTGATTTTAATAATCTTTTTGGGGTTTCTTTGCTAATATTCCTAACATCTGTATGATGGAGAGAAATATTCCTGACCTTCAGTGTTAGTGGTTTTGGTCTTTTTTTTTTAATTGATGTCCAGATCAGAGAGCAGGCACATGTTTCTCCAGCTTGGTGAATGGTCGCTGTGCACAAGAGCTTCCTGGTAGGTTTACCAAAATGCAGTGCTGCTGTGAATCTGGTCGATGCTGGGCTATTGGATCTGTTCCAGAGATGTGTCCTGTTAGAGGATCTGGTAAGTGGTTTTTTTTCCCCCTGCCTATCCTGAATGGCCTAAAAGGTCATTGGACATGTTTTAAATTGCTTTATAATCCAGGTAAAGGAGAAAAGTCAAGTTTTATATAATTTTTCATTCTTATGTTTTTAATCTGGATGCTTCCATCTGTGAACCATTTTTTCTGGTCCATTTTTATTTAGAACCAGTTTCTATAACCTCGTTTTGTTGATATTGGAAGTAGTTCTTGGGAACTGGGGCAGATTTTGTGGTCAAGCTCAAAGAGGAAATGATTCTGAGGGTCCATAGTTCATTTCAGTTTAAAGGAACATCTGCTTTCTCTTTCCATAGCTTTTCATGTTACTTTGAACTAGCAAAACACACCACATCAGTAGTTCATTTAGTCTCTCTGTAGTATACTCACATAGTGACTTTTCCCATTCATAGCAAAAAATATTTTCAGTTTACCTATCCCAAGATCTCTGAAGGATACAGGAGTTAAATATCTTTTTTAAACTTTGCCATTGCTTCGGCAGCAGGCAGCTCTTAGGGACAGGGAGCAGTGTCCTAGCCCCAACTCTGATCACGGAGCTGGGACCAGGAGTTGCCTGCTGCTGGGACAGGGGGACATTGTCCCAGCCCAGGCTTCATGCTCAGAGCCTGCCCTAGCAGCAGGCAGTTCCCGGGCCCGGGCAGAGGGTAATGTCTGAGCCCCCGCTCTGATAGTGAAACTGGGGTTAGGAACTCCCTGCATGAGGAGAGTTCCCCATCCAGCCTGGAGCTGGCTGGGACCTGCCCCAGAAAAGGATAGTTCCCTGCCAGCCCCAGACTGTGTGGGGAAGTCTGCACATGCAGCCCAGATCTAGCTGGGAACTGTCACTCCTATCCTGTTTTTTGCTTTTGTTGTCCCAAGTATTTTGTTGTAGCATTCACCCATTTGTCCCCATACAATAGGGGCTACTAGTTAGGCAGGTGGGCCTTGGGGCCCACGGTATTTTAATGTTACAAATAGACAGGACATCTCCTGATGTGTGTGGGGCCAGGAGATAGCTGCCACTGCAGCAAGCAGAGCTCTCCTGGCCCCATGCTCCCTGTCTTTCCCATGGCCAACACCCAGGGGAGCAGCCCTGTACCAGACTACTCCCATTGGGAGCAGACATGCTCCCTCTTAGGAGCAGATTATAGATGTGCTTCCTAGTAGGCTTATAGCCTAGTATTTTTACTGCGCCATAGAGCCCACTTCGAATTAACAGGACATGTAGACACGCCCAGTAATTTTTAAAAAAATGAAGAATTGGTACTTCATTTTTTCCAGAGGAAACAGAGATCTGTATTTCTCTACATGTTATTTTTCATAAAAGTTTGATTAACTCTGTGTCTTTTGTGCGTGTTTTTGGTAGATGAATACCGCAGACTTTGCATAGATGGAATTCCAGTTGGAGGTGGTTCCAGAGCTGGTGGAATAGGAGGAAATGGATTCCTTCCTGGTGGAAATGGGAATGGCTATGGCGCTGGAGGAACTGGATTCATCCCTATTCCTGGTGGCAATGGCTTCTCACCTGGCATAGGAGGAGCAGGAGTAGGAACTGGTGGCCAGAGTCCCACAGGGAATGGCCCAATCATTACTGGACTAAGTAAGTTTCTTAATTTTTTTTTAATATTTCCCTCTGTCTTTGATAAAGGATTAAATATCCTTGGTGCTTGCTCATGTGATTCTTGCATTTTAGTTTGAACATGGAAAATCTATCTAAATACACCTGACCATGGCCCAGCAGGTCTCTTCCAGTCTGTTTTCCTGTGTTTGTTAATGCATATAAGGTATTTGCATGCTATTATGAAAGAGTTGACTTTATAGAAAGTATAACAGATTACAGAACAGGTATGTTTTATTTTTTTTCTTGCTTTGGATTACAGATAAGCTTTCTCATTAGTCCTTTTTCCACTCTCACTATCTATGTATTCCTTGGAATGTCAGTTATAATATTTGTTTCTCGTTCAATGATATTCCCATAAGTTATGTATCCTTGATGGTTTTAGCCTCAGAAGACTGTATTATAGCCAGTAACCCTCTGCATTTGGCAAAACAAAAATGTAGGTTAAGGTAAAATCCTTATAACAGATGGCAGAGGGGTGGAACATATTTATTTCTCACAATTTTGGGAAGCTGGATTTGTTTGGCAATATCTTATAGTGGACCACATTACTGCATCTGTCCATTCTGTACCAGAAGATTTATTCCAAACCTATAAGTAGCTTCTGCTACCTACCGCACAAAAAAGTAACACTCCAGAGAAATGCTTATACTGCTAAAAGTGGGTTCCCAGCACCACCACTGAATATTCCACCTGCCCAAGTCATTTTTGTTCCTGGGCCTCTCACAGTTTTCTCTAAATAAGTCTTTGTTTTGTTCATAGCTGACAGGTAAACTTACAACTCTGCAGGGCTCAAAGTTTCACTTCATTAGGAAAAGAAAATTCCTAGTCTCCTAAAGGATCAGACATAGCAGATTTTAAAGCCACTATCTCTTTTTTATATAATTGAAATCTATTTTAAATTATTTTTAAAATGTCTTCAATTTATCAGATTTAATTTTTCTCTCCCTCAGCTCTGCAGAATTGGACTTATGATGATTAAAACTTTACAGAAAGACACACAATATCATTCCAGAAAATGTTTTTGAAAGGCTTTTATGTCCTTAGAATAGTGTTAGTGATTACGCTCATATTAGTGATAGTAATTATGCTCATATTTGCCACATGTGAACATTACAGTCATCACCAACTTGTAATGATAAAACCTTTATGTTGCCCTGTCATATATTGCTTTTACATACATAATCAAAAAGTGAAAATATCCGTGCTTGCACTGTAGTTTTAGTTTGTGCCTTTGAACGTCTTTCTTGCACTCTTATTGTTAGTCCATCTCAGTCAGCACTACATGTAGCATTCCAAACCTCTGAGCTACTTCAGACAACCACCAGTATTTTTAAAACAAGCTGCTAGATATATTTTCCTTATTTTAAATGTGGAACTTCCTCTAAAAATATTACCTTGGCTCACTACTCAGAATGAACAATATTTAGTAGGACTATGTAGATCCGTAAGGTTACTAAGGACATGACAGTGTCTGTAGAATGAATGCCATATTCAATAAAACAGATGAAATATTAGGATAGCTGTACCCTAAATATTAAAATAATGGTTTCCTAGGTCAGGGGGGTCAAGTGGCATTGTCCTCACCACTGACCTGCAGATAGTGCTTAAGGATTGTTTAACCACAATTAACCCTTAAATGGAACATAAATACGAACACAGACAATTCAGTGTCCTAAAATCAGTCTAACTTTACTAATACAACAAGTATTATCTCAGTATTTTCTAAATTCAGAGAGAGAAAAAACACTTAGTACAATGATCTCACCCAATCCCAGATGTTACTTTGCCTCACAGAAAAGATGGCTGCTCAGTTCCTGAAGCGAAGGGTGCGTTGTTGGCTGGGATGATCCAGTCAGGTGTTGAAAGCTGGATTCATGATGTCAATGATGATGACAACGACAACTTTCTTGCTTCCCCCTCTTATGCTTTTCTTTAACTTGACTTGTTTGATGACTTCTTGCTTTTAGATTGGTCTATCTGAAGTTAGCATATTGTACATATTTTATCCTGTCAGCATATTCCTTTGTTCAACATCCCCATTACGAGCTCACCTCTTAATTTGGCCTTTTTCTGGTGTCTTTCTTTAAGCATTGTCCATTGGTCTCCTTTATCACCTTTCATTAACATAGCCAATCATTTCATTCCTCTGATTCAGCTGATTAGTGCCAAGTTCAGTTAATTTGGGATAGTAACAAAACTATTACTATGTTGCGTTAGAAAACCTTGTCACAGTGATAGAAAAAAGAAAGAAACATTATGCGAGCAAACTCAAGGCTATAAGCTGCTTGCAAGAAACAAGGCCAGTTGATATTGCAAACACCAGTAAAATGAAAAGTTCAGATAATAATGAGGCTATACAGAACTTTAGGCTGAGTATAAAAGAAAACTTTAAATGATGCTATAATTCACCACTCTATAAACAGGTGTAACTTTAAAGCATAAATTATGACAAGCTACCCTAACAGCATGGGCAGGCTTTGTGTGTGGCATATGGCAGATCAGGAAGGGGACACATGGAACAGCAGTAGACAGAGCAGAAAGTGGAGTATCAAATTGGGCAGGGAGCAGAAAACAAAGTAGCAGATCAGCCAAAGGAAGGGGATTGGAGTGGCACGTGGAGAAGGTGCTGGGATAATCCGTGACGACTGCCAAAATGTTGGCCCCAATTGGCATAGATCCAAACCCAGTGGGTTCTTTGTCATGAGATCTTTGATATAAATGCTGGATCATAATGCAGGCCATTTGTCTAATATATTTGTGTTGTTTTTTAAGTATCTTCACAACCACATCAATCAATAGTTCTTTGAAATACTTTCTCTTTAAAGCTTGAAAAAATAGCTAAACTTACACATTTTATTATAGAACTGATAAAATAACTTAACATGACCTCTCAACTCCATTTGTATGTCAGAATTGTCTCATGTTCTGTAATCTCTTTCAGCAATACTCAATCAGACAATAGATGTCTGTAAGCATCACCCCAACCTTTGCTTAAATGGGCGATGCATACCAACCATTTCTAGTTATCGGTGTGAATGCAACATGGGATATAAGCAGGATGCAAATGGAGATTGTATAGGTAAGTGTATATTTTTACCTCGTCATATTCACATTCTGATTGTTTTTATATTTTTCACTTTCATACATATATCCTTAAAACATGAGATTTTAAATCTTTTTTTACCTCTCTTCAACAAAATATATTTAGGTCAGGAATTGTAGTCAGATTTTTTTTATGATGCTGTAATATTGAAGTATTTAAAACAAGCTTTTGATCCATAATTGCTATAAAGAGTACATCTTTTAATTGCAAAGTTGAGTGTTATATATACATCTGCTTGTTGAATAGTAAGCTCGTACCCAACAGCAATTGCCCTGATTGGCAAGGTGCTTTTAGAGCAACCTTGGTGATATCATTAAGATTTAGAAATAAAGGTCCAGGGAAGTATATAGTGGGAGACTCATGGAACTTCCCACTTACCACACTTGGCTGAGAAATTTGTAAGAGTACTTTCTCTTCCAGTGGAAGTTAAATCTAGGCATGATTTGTAGGCCTTTGGATCTTAGGACTCTACTTATAGCAACTAACAATATAAACACATTCTTGCTCTCATACTCTTGTGGTGGCGGGATGGGAGTCATTTAGCACTTGATCCTGCACAATTGAAAACATAGTGCAGTTCTTCCTAAACATTTCCTATATATAGGCTATATTATGTATATTTCTATATTTACAAATGTTTTTTGCTTACTCTTAAAAGTAAAACACAGTTTCATAGTTACAAAAAATCTAAAATCACAGCTATTTCAGAGTTAAATAGAATTAAAGGGCTTATTCAGGCTGTAATGTACATCACAATCTAATCATATGATCAGTTTCTGAGAAATTTCTGTCACTAGAAATCTTTCCAGGAGAGGGATTTTACAGGCATTTGGCCTGCAGCCACCCCTCCTTCCCTGGTCTCCATACATTCACCAGACCAGGGTGATCCCAGTCTGGGGGGGAAAAGTGTAGGGAGCAGTGAGTGCTCTACTGTTTCTGAATATGGAGGAAGTGGAGTAATGGGGAAAGATTCCTTGTGCTTCCCCAGACTAGGTTCTAGGCAGGGGAGGAGCCTCCTCTGCTCTACTTCTGGTTTCCAGGAGCAGAGCAGAAGGAGCAGTGTAGCATGACCAGTCCAAGAGGTGAGGGAAACAGCCACCTCTGTTCCCTGTCTCTTCCCTAAACCTGGGATTGCACGGCTTGAGAAATGCGGGGAGAACTTTTTTGTGCTGCACTCCCAGGCTGGTCTGGTTTGGAGGAAGAGCAGTGGGGCAAAGCTCTCTGCTCGTTCCTCAGAGTGGGGACCACTGGTCTAGGGAACAGTGGGGAAGCCCCTTCATCCCCTACTCAGATGGCAGATCTCAGTCTGGGGATCAGGCAGGGAGCAGTGGGCAGCTGCTCCTTCCCTCCCAGTATACAGGATGGGGGAGGAACAGAGGGGTAGTGCCTGCCGTGCCTTCCCTAGACAGGGAAGACCACCACTCAACCCCTCCTTGTCCCCAGGAGGAATTAAGTGACAGGTATTCTTTCCTGTTGGAGAAATCTTCCTCTTTGAAAGGGGAAGAACTTTCTCCTTCAGGAGGCATTTTTCCTGTGGGACAGACTTGATGAATGTCTATATGCTTGTAGTTTCTATCTAGGAGAATGTTGATTCTCCCAGTGGAAATATAATGCCTGTACATAATCAGAATCTCTCTCACAATCAGAAAGTAAAAATTAAGAAAGATTAGGTTGCTAAAAGGAACTTCTATGGGATCAGCCCTATCTCTTGTGGGTGTTGCATATCTACCATTACTAAATGAGGCTTCATATCTACTGGGTGCATCTACGTGTGCATATTAATGTGCATGAGTTTATTGCTCTTAGGCATGCCTTCTACATGTGCATCCAGGACCATAGCTAGTTGAGCTGGGACAGAGCAGCCCTAGATGGCAGGGGCCTGGGGAATCAGCCTGTCATCCTGGGACTGCTCCAGCCCAGCTCAATGTGCTGTGAAGGTACTGGCTGGGGCATTAGGGTGCTTCAGTGTGAGGTTACCCTTGTGCCTCAGCTAGCCAGGGCAGTGTCTACATGTGTGCTGATGCGAAGTAAAAAAACTCCATAGCAGGATAACACTTGTGTTTACAAGTACTGTCCTCCTGTGTAGTTAATTAGTTTACTGCTGCCTAATAGCACTGAGGTGTAGACATGTGATATTTTTACTAGGCAGCTAATTATTTTACTGCACAATAAATGTCTAGTGTAGACATGTCCTCTGATTTGTACTTTGAACCACCCTGTTTTACAGCATGTATTGCAATTGCTATAAGAACTTAGTACTTAGCAAGGGGAGTTCTGCGATCTCACTATAATTTTCTCTTTGAAGTATAGAGAAACAATCACAGTATCTGAAGTGCCATATTGGCTTGTGAGCTGTGAGTGGTAATTGTTGTAGATCAGTGATGCACAATCTCTGGCCCACAGACCAGATTCAACCTGTGGGACTGTGGGGCCTCCCCATAGGTCTGTAAATTTGGCAGTGGGGGAGCAGTGACAGCATTAATTGCTGCAGCTCTGGAAGCCATGGCAATTAATGCTACCCTGCTGTTAAATTTCTGGACCCATGGGGAGCCCCACAGGTCAGATGATATGTTGCTGTGCTCAGGGTTGTGCCAGTATGTGGGACTGGCTCTGGTGGGTGTCCAGTCACTGCACTATGAGAGATCAGATGTGGCATGAATGAGGCTGTTCTATAGCCAACAGACCAGCCCCACTCCACTCACCTGGCTTTTAGGGCTTGAAGGTTGAGCATCAGTAACAGATCAGAACAGAATCTGACCCTGGGAAACTTAACTGTATAAAATATCTGTATATTATATATTAAATTAAATTAAGCTAAAGGACTCATTTCAATCCAATTTGGATTCTGTTCTGGTTAGTGAAAGAACAGGCTTGTGGCATTGGGAACAGTCACATTTCACCATATGGGGTAGGGTTAATAATATATAAATGAACAATGCAGACTGTTACATCTCTTTGGCTCCCCACTGAGAGAAAACCTCAAAGGATATTTTAATTCAGAAATAATTAAAGAATTTTTATGGGTAGGGCAAATAAAGAAAGTAACTTATTCCAAAATGATCCTTTCAGACCAAAAGGCTAGGATTATACACTGCTTCCCATAAACACTTTGTGATGATAGACAGATATAAACCACTGCTGTCCTAAGGGTTTTAATACTAAGCTGTTTTGTAAGTCATCAGTTCCTCTTCCTGAAGTGATAGGAGGCCTGTATACTATCTACCCTTTCTTATTACCACTGTTTTTGTGAAAAAAGGTTTTGGATAAAAGGTGAAAAAATCTAATACTAAGGAGGACCAGCAGCAGTGTGATATTGTGATTGTATCAAGATTTGTATTTAAAAAGGGCGTCAGTGTCCTCTAACCTTTTGAATTTTGTTTTCAGACTTAGCACAGTAAGTCTTCATAGAACAGTTGAACTTTCCATGCCATTTTTAGTCACATTTATGCTAACTATGATGGGTAAAACACTGAAAAATGGAAATAGTTGAGCCTGAAAAAGGGAATGGATAGATTGAGTGCTTCTCTTTCTTTGGATGGGACATGCACCCCAGCAATCTAAAGTCAAGGTTAACAACTGTTTTTATTGGAATATGTTTATCTTTATTCTTTTTTATTACCAACCTATAATAATGTGGTGGAAGCAAAGATTCACATGCAATACCGTGAATCTTCTGACACACCTGGATTATAACACATTTTTCTAAGTCCTATATTAGTTATTTGATATAGAGGGACATCACATTCCTCCTTTAGAGTTCATAAATTCATTTCCAATGAGAGCCCGTAGCAGAATAGATTTCTTTTCTTGATGGTTAAGCAGCTAAGAATTTACCTAGAACTGTATTCTAGAACATAATTATCACTTTGCTCTACTGGAAACCTTAACAAGTTAGAGAAGTATAGGGTTTATTATTTATAAATTCTGTCTGTTCTCTAATACTTAGGCAAGAAAAATATATAGTAGAAGTCTTTGGGATTAGGATGTTAGACAAAACATTCCTGAGAAAATATGATTTAGAGTTTGATACACTATCAGTAGATCTACTTGATTGGCTTTGTTCTGAAGAAATTATGTACAGCCCTTTTGGGCACGCCATACTGACTGAGCATGCAGCCAAAATATCCAGAGGATTGGTCTGCTGTTCATGAAAATAAAATATATTCTGTGGCCAAGAATTGTCGAGCTGCTTGGGAGTATGGAGCTAATATAAATACATAAAATTCTGTTAAAGGATAACAAATGGCTTTATGAACATATACAAGTAGCCACGCTAAAAAATAAATACTGTTTCTGCATTCGTTTTAACTCTTTCAATTTCTCTTTTCTTCATTTTTGCTTCATACTTTTGGCTTTATTGAAGTGATGTTATGAACTGCACATTCAACTGTGAGTGTTTCTTAAAGAACTAAATAGCTTTTGGATGAGAAGAGCTGTTTGATTCTTTTATTTTTTTCTTTTTATTTGCTTCACTCTTTACCAGAGAACCTTCACTGAATCCTAGTTCTCTTATAGATCAGCTTGCTACAGTGTCATACTGAATATCTCAAAAGCTGTAAGAAATACGTTTAAACATTATTTGTATTGTTTGTAAAAATTACTTCATTCACCTGTATATCCCATTATATGAGGGATATTACTTGTAATATATCTAATAGCAAAACAAGTGTTTGCTATTTTCCAGTCTCAGGCCATTTGTATTTTCATATTGTGGAAATCTAGTAGCACATGCAGTCACGAAGTGGAATTGAAGAACCATGATTGTGGACTGCATTTCTCAGGCCAGCGAGTTACTTCCCAAGTATAAAGAACTGAATTGAACTGAACTTTTAAATCAGACCTTAAATGAAAAAAAGTTTGAAAATCTGTGGAAAGAAAAGCAAGCTACGTTTCAGGTTGCTTCTGGCCCCATAAAGTAGCCAGTTGGTCTCTGGCCACATAGGACAAAGTACCTACATTACACTTTTACTGGTGTAAGTGATTTGAACTGGTCTATACCCATAACAAAACAGAAGTTAAGCACACATAAGGCATGTCTGTATGTGCATTTATACCCACTGAAATTTACTGTGCAGTAAGCTACTGCACAGTAAGCGGGAATAGGCTGGCATCTACACATGCAGGTGTTAAAGAGCATTAACGGTGTGTGTGGACTGACTTGGGACTAAAGTTAGTCCCAAGTTAGCCCACACATACAGTGTTACTGCATAGTAAGGCATCTGACACTTCCACAAAACCTCCGCTTGAAACTTTAACAATACAGTCATTGTTTTAAAGCTATAATCTGAATTTTGTTTTATAGGCTCTGTGGTAAGCTCTGCTTTTAAGTGTTTACAACTTGCTTGTTGCCCTGTAGATTCATTTTGTAGATTCTGATTATTCTGAAGAAAGAGAACAGGTGATTGTTCTATTTAATAAGTGAATACAAAGCTAAACAAAGGATTTTTCACTTCTGTTAACTAATGGTCAGATCCCTTGTCTCAAAGTCCTCAAAGCTTTTTTTTTTCCTTCTTTCAAAAAACATGTTATCTGTATTCCTTTGTTTTTTGAAAATGCAGTTTCATGATTACACTTAGTATAGGTTTGTGTGTTTGGGGAAATAATTTTGTAATGAACGTAGGTTTCAAGCTTAAGCATTTGGCTGTTTCTTCAATCATGAAATGGTATACCTGAAAGAAGAATTGCTGAATATATAATAGTGTGAAGTCTCTAATGGGCATCTCCTCTGCTGCCAACAGATGTTGATGAGTGCACATCAAACCCATGTACTAATGGAGATTGTGTCAACACACCTGGATCCTATTATTGCAAATGTCATGCAGGTTTCCAAAGAACTCCTACCAAGCAAGCTTGCATTGGTAAGAAAATGTACTTGCACATGGTGTAAGATGTTATGCCTGACCTGCTATGTCAGATTCTCTTGGAGTTTAGCAAGCAATTACCAGGAAAGTCTTTTCAGTAAATTATGACACTGATGTAATTGCCTTTAATTAAAGTTTTAAGTCTGGGTTACCCTTGCATTTTTTCTATAGAAAAAAATATAATGATTTATTTTTTCCCTTTGTCATTTATCCTTTCCTTCCAATATCTTAGTTACTTGTCTAGCTGGTTCACATTGAAGAATCCACAGAAAGAAAGGCGGTATTTAGATTAATAGATTCTTTAAGTGTAGGGAAATTATTGACTCTAATTATAAAATGATATTATTCATAGGCTTTATTAACACAATAAAAGTTTATGACAATAACAGGCTGAAAGTATGATAATTAGTTCAAGAGAATGAATTTTTACCACCTTCAGAAAGTTTCTAGGAAATATTTTCTGACAGGGTCTTTTAAAACAATATCTATTACTTTGCCACTCTTAATCCATTGACTAGTAAATCATCTGATCGCATTTCTCACTTAGATATTGATGAATGCATCCAAAATGGTGTTCTTTGTAAAAATGGCCGGTGTGTCAATACTGATGGCAGCTTCCAGTGTATTTGCAATGCTGGCTTTGAACTAACTACAGATGGAAAAAACTGTGTCGGTAAGGAAAACTCTTCTTTGTTTTTGAACAGTCTCTGCTTTCACATTTCTAGAAATTGCCCTTAACACAATATTCCTGATGTTTCAAGTTCAGGTTTCTCAAAGTAACTTCTGATGTGAGGGATAGCCTCACTGGGGTCAAGTAGACAGTACATAAAGCTTCCCTATTCCCAAGACGCTGCAGAATGGTGCTTCAAAAACTACATTCTCTCCATGAGTTGGCCAGTGCACAACTGCATTTCACCACCCATAGCCTGCTGTCATTGGTGTGGCTGATGTAGAAGATGGCGAGATTGTCAAAACCACAATCCCACATTCTTCAGATGCCTTTTAAATGGTTTGGGGTTTACCTCAGGAAGGGTGTTGTGAGACTAACCCATGTAGTTTCCTAAGTAAACATATTGCAATTGTGACAATAAGTGACAATAAATGTTTAATAAAAGATATCACAAAAAAAGTTGCCTCGTATATATTTTCTGAATGATCATAGCTACAACCCTCCCCCCCCCATTGTGACTGCTGTCATTTGTGCAGTTTAAATAAAGTTAAAGCTGTTCTTACTCTTGCCCTACTCCCTACATTGCACCTTGGGCATGTTTACCTATTCATGAATGTACCATAATTATGGCACATTAAGTTTAGTACCTATAATAACAGGTTCTAAACTTAGTGCATCATAATCAACGCTACTGCGCATTGGCACAAACAAAAGCTTTTTGTGGCATTAATTTGCATTAAATTAAGTCTGCTGCGCATTAGCACATTAGCATGGTTTTTGCTAGCCATGCTAATGTGCAGTAGAATTAGTCTTCTGTGCATTAAGCTCCTTGTGTAGATGTTCCCCTTTTGTCACATTTTGGCCCCTGAAGAGTCTATGTCTTTGTAGGTGTTAGTTTTATACATTTAGGCTGTAAAAGCTTTGCTGCAAGGGCTGTGGCTTGCCATGTGTTTGTATCAGCTATTGTTTTAATATAAATAATAAAACATTTAATATTAAATGTACTTAGATGAAAAAATGTTATATTTATTTATATTTTAATAACTGAAGAAAACATTAAACATATTTATTCTTCCTGCTTAAAGGCAAGGATTTCATTAGAGTAATAAACTTTATCCCAACTACATAGTTGGTCCAATAAAAGATATCACCCTAAGAAATCTTTGCCCCTCACAATTTCTGGAGCATCATGGCTTCAGCATCACTCTTACACTACCTTCCTGCTTAAATGCATTAGGTAAGGTTTTGCTTTTTTGATATGTCCTTATATTGATGGACTATTATATCGTGTATGATGTGCCCTCCCCTTTGATGGTACAAAACAGAACATTTACCACTGATGCAGTCCACAGGTGGTTAATTGTTTCAGGGAAATGGCATGTCCCATCCAGTCTCCGTAGGATGTGTCTTCTCCCTCTGTGGTGTTAAAGAACAGCATTTTAATTTTGATTATGAAGTGTCATGAGAAACTTCTAAGAAAAATATCTTAGAAGTGTAGCTGCACCACACTGAATTCCTCAGGATGGCTAATTGTCATTCTGCTTCCTCCTAAAAGAGGAGGAGGCAGCATTTACCTGAGGATATACTCTGCTGAAATATTCTAGGCTAGTGGTTGTCAACCAGGGGTACGTGTACCCCTAGGGGTACTTAAAAAGGTCCTAGGGGGTATACAGAACTAATGTGGCTGATAAATGCCTTGTGCATGCATACAGCTGCAGCACAGTACACAGGCAGCCAGGAGAGCAGCTGGGTCCAGCTGGTAAGTGTGTTGTGAGGGAAAGGTCCTGTGGGGGGGAGATTGAGGCCCCAGCTGTGGTGGAGGGAGTGTGGGTTAAGGCAGGGGCTGCCCAGTCAGGTCAGGGCACTGGACTGAGCCACGTGAGGGGTGACTCCTGCTGCTGCACACACCTTGGGAGGCATGGGAGATATATGCCCCCAGATATGTGTGGGGTGGAGTGGGCTGATGCTGTGGGCTGGGGCCGGGGCTACACTGAACTCTTGCTGGCAGGGGCAGGGCCGGGAGGTCTGTGCTTGGGGTGGGTAGTGGTGGCACTGGGAGGGGGCTACAGGAAGGGCTTCAGCCACTCCAGCATTTGCTGTAGTTCCCCCAACACTCCCAGCGCCACTGCAGCTACCCGCCCCAAGCACAGCCTGGACCAGCCCCCAGCTGGGAAGAACCCAGCACAGGCCCCAGCTCACAGCAGCAGCCTGCCCTTACCCCACGTGCAGATCCGGGGCACATGCCCCCCCCCATGCACTCCTGGGGGTGCACATAACAGCGGGAGCTGCCCCCATGCAGCTCAGTCCCTCGCACTGCCCTGGCTGGGCATCCCCTGCCCCTGCCGCAGCCCCACTCCCTCCCCGACCCCTGGGTCAGCCTGCCCTGCACCACCCTATCCCGTGTGCAGATCTGGGGGCATACACCGCCCCATGCCTTCCTGGGGCGTGTGCAGCAGCGGGAGCTGCCCCCCCTTTGCGCCACTCCCGACCGAGCCTCTTGCGGCTCCATCCTGTGCTCTGCCTCAGTTCAGCCCCAGTCCCACCTCTGCTCCCTCCCTCACTGCAGGGGCCTTGATCTGCCCTCCCGCTCCTTAAAAACAAGAAAAAAATATAAAGGGGTACATGAGCTGAAACTTTGAGAGAGAAGGGACACACTTGTTAAAAAAGGTTGAAAACCCATAGGCAAATGACATTTTTCACTCTGCTGAAGGTGATTGCTGTTTCTATGTGTAGTCTGCAGACTTTTCGGACAGTTTTTGCAAATTTTACTTGTAGAGTTGAAACTGGGGAGGAAGAAATTCTCTGCCATGTAGTCATAGAGAGTTTACTTTATTTGCACTAAGCAACACTTACCTGGTGAGATCCAGAAGTTAATTCCTCAAGGATGTAGGAATATAAGTAATTTTCTCTGTTCTGTTTCTGCAGACCATGATGAATGCACTACTACAAACATGTGTTTAAATGGGATGTGTATAAATGAGGATGGTAGCTTCAAATGCATCTGCAAACCAGGGTTTGTTTTAGCTCCAAATGGGCGTTATTGTACTGGTATGTATGACTGTGAGAACACATTAAGACAATCTTATTGAAACCATCTTTTCCTATCTAGTGAACCATATAAGAATGGCAAATCTTTTTATCACATGGAATTAATAATCTTCAGTATCTTACTAATTTGATACAATAGGTGATGAAGCTGCCTAAAAATACTCATTGGAATTCTAGAAGGAAGTTATTGAACCACTTACAGTTACAGTAGCTAGATGACAAGTTAGATTTTGAAAGCTATGGAAAATCATTGTAGCTGTAATGCAATCTGTGCACACTGCAAGAAATAGTTATGAGGGTGCAGTGCTTCAAATATTGATAATTTAAGTAACATTCAAATGTAAATTTTTCATTTGTGTTTTTTTTCTTAATTACGTAACATTTCTTAAAACATCAACATTACTACATTGTGCTAAGTACAAGCTTCTTTGGTGAAGTTATTTAAAAGATAACCTTAAACATTTTAATAATGAAGACCAATTTGTTTCCTACTGAAACCAACAAGAGGTTTTTGTTGACTTTACTGGGTGCTGGATTGGGCGTGTTTTCTAGTACAAAATGATTTAATGGGTCAAGTTTATTTAAAAACATTTTTTCTATATTAATATTGGACCTCTTCTGTGAATCTCCTTCCCTTTAATAAGCATACAATTTGTTGTTTATGTTCGAAGGTTATTTTGGAGCTGTTCACATAGATGAAAATAAAGTAAACCTGCTTTTCTCCCTAGTTGTACAGACATACAGTGTCTGCAAATTAAAAAAATGCAAGAGAAATCTTGGAATTTAAATCAAGTTCTGGAATGAGGAGGAAGAGAAATTCCAACTCTTTCTCACGTTTCTGAAATACAAATTACTAGTGAACTTGCTGAGCATGAGGAAAAGAAGGGAAAAGAAAAATACTAGAGCTCCGCTGCTTGAACTAATATATGAGATTAATGAGCAGAGGTTACCTAGCTTTGATTTAACTCATGTGTCATGTAAGATAAATTACAAAGTGCTAGTTCATTCGGGGAGCAGACTCCCTTTCACTGCTTCTTAAGTATCATGAATAAACTGTCAGATTTGAGAGAGTAGCAGATCAAAAGTCTCACCAGTTTTTGAGATTCCCACGGTATGTGCGGAAGGGGTGCAGACAGCTCTCCTAAGCACTTGGCTGCCCTTGGGAACTTGTGGAAGCTGAGGCATGCAGGGAGTCCTCCTCTCCAGCCAGAAGGCCACTTCATGCTTTCATAGCCATTTTGAAGCACTCCGGGGGGAGCTGCGTGGTGCTGAAGTGCAGTGGTGTAACTAGGGTGGGTTGAATGGAGTAATTGCCACAGGCGCCAGCTTCTTGGGGGGGAGTGAGAAAGGGGGCTGCTGCTGGCAGCCACGTGTTAGTGATCACAATTATAATAGCAGTGGCAACTAGAAGTTGTCATGCTCTGGGTGCCTGCTACTATGCTGCTGCTGTAGTATACCAATTTGCACATCTGTCCAGCACCTAACTTCATTTTTTAGACTGCTGTATTACTGTAAAATAGCTCACAGAAAAAAAGGGGGACATCTGCCATTAATGTGCTAAATATATAGTCTTGAGTTGCCTCTAGACTCAGTTTATATTCCTGAAAATTTGATTTTAGGCATGTGCCTTTTGGCTGAGGCCTTTCATATTAGGCCTTTCACATTAAGCCTTTTGGCTGAGGCCTTTCACATTAAGCCCATTGTGGCCACAGTGAGTGCATCTACACATGTGCTTTACTGTGGAGTCGACTAATTAGCTCAACAGTAAAACATCACAGCCTACATGTGCGCCTGTATTAGGGTGCAGTAAATTAATTAACTGCACTGTAGGATAGTACTGTCTGAGACGAGTAATATCCTACGGCAGAGTCATTTAGTATGCCAAAATGCATGTGTAGACCTTGACCAGGGCTGACTGTTGCACAAGGGTGCTACAGTGCAGGTGTTGCCTGCCAGCTAGCCCCACACTGTACCACTGTCATGCCCCAGCCAGCTCCACTGCAGCACGTTGAGCTGGGGTGGAGCAGCTTAAGTTTATTTCTTCGCCCTAATTGCACATGTAGATGCACCCAGTGTGGAAAACTATAGTTTAGTCCCAACGTGGAAACAAAACAAGGCAATACTAATAATCCCTGTGCTATCATACTGCCAAGGAGCAATGTGTAAATTAAATTGAAGTCTACTTACTTTAGATTAATGACGTTAAACTACTTGAAAATGGTAATGAGTTACTGAGTTATGTCTTCCTCTGAGCAGATATTGATGAATGCCAGACATCAGGGATTTGTATGAATGGTCATTGTATTAATACTGAAGGATCATTTCGATGTGAATGTCCACCTGGCCTGGCTGTTGGTGTTGATGGTCGTGTTTGTGTAGGTAAGTGAAACTTCCTTAATGGGAAGTAATGAGAATTTAATAGTTAATGTCAGTGTTAGCTGTAGAATTAAAATGTTTCTTAGTGGATTTTTTCTCCCACACCACTGATAAAGGAGCTGTGTTGGGGTCCTTTGGTCATATGATCTTCTATTTCTTTACTTGTATGCATCTATTCAGGGTGGATGGCTTCACTTACACATTTTAGCCCCCTTTCCACTGCTAATTACCCATCTCAAATCACTAGACAAGAAAATCACTTTAGTCAAGAGGATGTTTTCTTTTTGATATTCTTTTGTCTCTTACTCTTGTCCCTGCTCTCATTGCACATTCCTTTTGTGCTATGAAGGCCAGGTGAAATAAGAGAAACTCCCATCAGGAGATATTCAACAAATGCAACCTAAAGAATAATTATTTTATGTGGACTCAAATTTGAACTCACTGTATTATGTAGCGTGCAGTTGTGCTGCCCAGTAAACTCAAAGTTAGATGATAAAAAGCTTAGGCAAAAACTGAACTCTTACTAACTTAACGTTAACATATATAAATTTTAGCTTCACATAATGAAAAATACTGGGTTTATGGACAACCTCTGAGAGAGGTGAACTTAAATTCATTATTTTTACTTCAGAAAAGTCTGAAAATCATGTTGTCATAAAAATTAGAGGAGAAAAAGCTGTAAAAAGGCATGTGCAGTTCTAGATAGTTCCAGGCAGTGAAAATGATTTGTCCAGTTCAGTTTATGTTAAACTAACCTTTTTCTTAGGAATTTCTCGAGTCTTAAAAGAATAATCAACTAAGGAACATAACAAAAGCTCAACCTTCTGTAATCTATTGTGACAGGAAACCTGCCCAGCTGCCTTCCTGGGGCACTGTGTTTTTTCCTTTCTCCACTAGACTGCTCCCCACATCTGGGATGCTCATTTTAATCTGTGCCCTTGGACTGGCCTCTAAAATCTGTAACTGTCCTGGGAAACATAGGACAGATGGTCACCATATCTAGGATGCACTGCTCCCAGTCCCCTACCCAAAGCAAGGATAGAGTCCAGGTGCCAGAGCTTGTAGACACGTTCCTACTCACCAGTAAGAGCTGTGCAGGCAAGGAATGTTATTAACCATTTATGTGCAACTGCTCATAACTGTTTAATATCCCATAGATTTAGTATGTGTCACAGGGCGGGGCCCAGGAGTGGCCGTGATCTCTCCTGGCGCCCCCTACCGTGCCAAGTTGTCTATCAAGCACCCTCGGTATCTCACCCACCACGTCTTTGATGATCAAATATATAATAAGGGAGGCTGCCTTTTTGTCCCCTTGGGCACGGTGTTCTTATTTATCCTGGTCCCTGCTCTGTATAGCTCGATCTTTGTTGCAGCCAGTCTTATGGGCTATGCGTGGCTCCTACCACCCCTAATACCACGCCCCAAGCCTCTCAGGTGTACCGGAGGTTGTTGCGTCTATCGTCTTCTCTTAGCAGCCCTCTCCGGGCCTCTCCCCGTACGCTCGCCCTCTCCGGGGCTTCTACTCTCATGCGCCCTCCCTGGGGCTCAACATAATACTCTCGCCCTCTCCGGGGCTTCTCTCGCGCTCGACCTCCCTGGGGCTTCTACTCCTGTGTGCGCCCTCCCTGGGGCTTGTCTCTGTATGATCGCCCTCCCTGGGCTCATCTCTGTATGATCGCCCTCCCTGGGCGTAACACAAGCACCCCCCGGGCTTCTTGCCGGTGCCCACACTGGTGCTCCTTGCAGTTGGGGCTCAGGTGGCCTTAGCCATGCCTGGCCCCCAGACTCCCTTCTTGGGTCTGTGATCCCTATCCGGCTCAGGCAGCCTCGGCCTTACCTGGCCCTAGATCCAGACTGCTGTGCCCTCTCTGGCACCAGGAACCCCTGCGCTACTGGGGAGCTCCTATGAGGCCTCCTCCAACCCCTACAGCCTCACCCAGTGCTCCGGTGTAACAATAACCAAAACCATAAGCCAATCGGCTGTAACACAAAACCCAAGCCTCCTGGCTAAAACATAAGCCCTAAGCCTCCGGCTCATCAACATTACCATCCCTGCCAGGGGTTCCTCTGCCTGGTATTCTCGCCCATAATCTGGTCAGGTCATCAGGCTTCTCATCTCTGCCTGCTCCCGCAGAGCTCTATCTTTCACAGCTGCCAGAAGCCTCAGCCTAAGATGTTTATATAGGCCAGGCCCTGCCCCCTTCCGGTCAGCTGACCTCTGTGGTTGCCCCAGCAACCCACACCTGTTCTTCTCTCTAGGAGCAAGCACTTCAGTGCACTGCGACAGTATGGTCTAAGTATAACATGTAACTTCACCCTTAGTTATTTCACAGTATTATTACACAGCAGCAGAACCACTGAATCATCCAGTAGCATTCGGTGGCTGAGTGGAGCTGATTGTACCCTCTGTCTAGGAGACAGCAGTAGGAAGCAGTTTGGTGCTTGGTTTTCTGTGCTCTCTTTATCATCTGTTTCCACAATTCCAACAGCTTAGGGCTTTACAGGTTGTAAGGACAATTCTACATAGTATTTTACAGTAGTGTACTGATGGCGGGTCGAGGGGAGGGTTGATCAGGGCAGCAGCCCTTAGTGCTGCCTTTGTTGGGAGGATGCAAAAATGGCTGCCACTGCAGCGGGGGCTGTTTGTGGCACCCAGATCAGCACAGTGGCAGCCGACACTGCCACGTGCCCTTCTATGCCTCTGCTGTTTTATATATGAGCATGTCATACTGCTTTAAGAACTACCATAAATCGTTACAATTTCAGCTGGAAATTCCCTTGAGATGACACAAAATTATGAGGCAAAATCATGATTCATTTGGGAAATTCAGTTTTACAGAAAAGATGTTGTAATTATTCCAGACATGCAGTAATGTAGGTCATTTCAAATATGGCACAGCAAAAATTTCTTTTAGACATAACCATCTCAATAAGACTTCTATCCAGCTTTTTGTGGTGAATGAGTTGGATAATATTCAGACAATCTGGGCCTCAGGAAAATATTGTTAATCTGAAAGCTAACACATTACATAGGACTGTCTGTTTTTAATCATGCTCACAGGTGGGTTAGGCACGTCCCAGGAAAATAAAATTAAAGAACTTACAGTCAGATGACCACATTCTGCCACCCATTACCTGTACATTGAATACATATATATTTTTCCTCCATGAGCACTGTCACTGACTCTTGTGGGACTATACACAGAGTAAATTACTGTATTATTAAACATAAATAAGCATGCAGTTAGCCCCTAAGTAGCAGGTTTCGATAGAATGAACGTGTACTATAAAGGGGAATGGACACTTGAAAATATAATACAGACAGGTTTTTAGACCCAAAGTTTGCTCTACATGCCCTGGGCTCTCAATAACATCTGAGGAGTCATCCTCTTCCAGAACACAGCAGTCGTTCACTGAGTAAGATTATAGGCTTTACTACTTTTTGAGAGGGTACTGATTTGTGTCACATGCAGTCACAGTTGCTTCTCTGTTTGACCTTTTTAGACACTCATATGCGTAGCACATGCTATGGAGGAATTAAAAAGGGGGTTTGTGTCCGTCCTTTCCCTGGGGCTGTGACAAAATCTGAATGTTGCTGTGCCAATCCAGACTATGGCTTTGGAGAACCTTGTCACCCATGTCCTGCCAAGAACTCGGGTAAAGTTGCATGTTTCCTCTGATCGCATGGCTTGCACAGACAGAAAAGTGTTATTCAAAGTAGATTAATAAATTATTTCATAATTATAATGTGAAAAGGACTAGAAATTGTACAGGTTGTCTCTGAAAATAGTATCTCATAAAAATACGTGATAACATGGCAAAACTGTACACAGGGATTATTATTCACAAATTATTTATTTCATGTTACTTGTTATTTCATTCATGTATAGATATTTAATTTTATTAGATAAGATCATGGGAACATTCTTTCTGAAGATTTAAGTTGGTTTGTTTTAGGACAAAGAAGATAGGATAATAAGAGCCCTAACGTTCTTTATTTTGGAACATCTTTTGTTTCCTTCAAACAGCTGAATTCCATGGTCTGTGTAGCAGTGGAGTAGGCATTACTGTGGATGGGCGAGGTGAGATTTCAGATTTTCTTTTTTAAGTATATGACTTAAATAAAAGGGGTTCTAAAGAAGGTCCAGAATGTTCTCCATGAAACTTTGAAGGTAAGAGGGTTTTGTCTAGCCTTCAAAGGTTCATTCATCCTACAGTGGGAAGGATGAATACAATCAGATCCCTCCAAAACAGATCTTTCTCCTTCTTTTTGAGACAGCGTTAATTTGTGTCACCTTTAGTGATGAGTCCAGTGCCAGTACTCATTCCACAAGTTGGGGTGGGCAGGCTATCTTCCCTGATAAATCAAAGCCGGAAGTGAAGTTGAGGGAAGGGATTCCCATATAGAAGCTGAGCAACAGAAGTTAGAAGCCCTGAATATTTGGTACAGTGAAGGAAAAACTCCTTTGTTTGGCCTACATTGCCTTCACTTGAGAGGCTGGACCAGGTTTGGAGAGCTGGGAGGGCTGATGGCAGCCCTTAAGTAAGTGGAAGCAACTGAAGAAGGAATGACGACACACACTGTTATGATTTTCTGCCAGAGCGTTCCCAGATGAGTTAATAAAGTTGCAGCCCAATTAAACCACATCCCTTTCATTTTGTCTTTCTTCCTGTGTGGTCAGTGCAATTGTTCCAATCCAAATCAATGGAAAACTCCCATCTATTTCAGTGGGAACAGGATGAGAACTTAGGAATGTACTTTCAGCCATAACATAGTAAGCATTTAAAAGCACCATTAAACTATAAAGGAAAAGGTCATTGCTGTACAGCACTGTAAGTGCCTAATCCTACTCTTTATCTTTTTATGGGCTCATTTTAGTGCCTTGCAAAATCTACAGATAATGTACAAGCCAAGTTTGTAAACTCTGAGCTGTCAGTTCATTGAATATACAAGATCTACTGGTTTCTTTTGGAGAGGCTGTTACTCTCACAAGAGAAATAATGGTGGTCTACAATGCTGACAGTTCCAGACAATGGGAATTTGCATGAAGCTCTGTTTGGAGGTTATGGTCTCTGCTCGATATATAGAAGCTTAACCACTTATTAGGGAAGTAAGGCAAATTGTATTCTCCAGTCTTCACCAGGTATTTGACCAAAATTGTAATGTTATCCAGGGATCAAATATAAATTAAAATCCTCTTGGGGTGCCTTTAGGAAATGGTGGCACTTGCTATGGATCTCTCACAGCAGGATCCTGCTGCCAGGGACTCCTGCTACTGCTTATGCTGAGAAATTCTGCTCATTTACTTAACCATTCCTTAAAGCAGAAGAAAATTGATCCTTAGTTGGAACATAAAATGGCCCAGTGTTATGTTATTCTGCTTGTTCACTCCTCACACAAACACACCGATCTCCTAGATAGTCTCTATGCAAAATCATGCTTAACTCTTTATCTTAATCACAGTATCTTAACCTCACTGCAGTGACAGTCACCAAACCCCATTCCCATCATTCAGTTCTTGAGCAATGAGTTTAGCCCAGGGAGCATGCTCCCTGAGGATATTAGCAGAGTTGAGAAGTAGCTGAGCCTTCTCTCTCTACTTTACCACAAAAAAAAAAACCTTAAGAGGGCTGAGCATGCCTTCTGCTTTAGAAAGAATGTGTACTAAAGGGAGGTAGGATATAGAAGGTATAGCATGACATTTTCCAAGATATTCCAGTCTCTCATGAAGATGTTGGAAAATTCTGACATCTTTACATGAGATACAGCCAGAGGAGTGGAATTTTCCAATAGGATTATAACACAATCCTTTTTATCATGTCTTATGTGTTTGAGACACTTGGATTTCAATTGATTGCTATAATTCTAAAGCCTTGGATTAAATCTGTTGTAAGCCTCTTAAATGCTTTAGGATCAACATATTAGTATATATGTCAGTCATGTACCCGTATTTTCAAAGTATTTCACTCAAGAATCATAAGTTCTTACATAGGCCCTAAACCTACTGACAGACTTTGTGTTTTGAGTTAATGGTATTTTTGTGTGTCCACCCACTCCTTAGGCTTGTCATAGCTCTGAATACATGGAATAGCTACAATATTCTGTTTTGTATTAATATAGATATTAATGAATGTGCATTGGACCCTGATATTTGCTCCAATGGAATTTGTGAAAACCTACGTGGTAGCTACCGTTGTAATTGTAACAGTGGCTATGAACCTGATCCTTCTGGAAGGAACTGTGTTGGTAAGTTGCTTCACGTATTGAATTCTCACTCATTTCCATAGAAGCAGGACTAGAGTGTGAGAAGAATGGCTATGACCTTTGGCTCCAAAGAAAAAGCACTTCTTTTTGAGAAAAACTTCCTCTTTAGCCCTTGCATGGCCACTACTTCTACAGTTGCTAGTATTGTTTTTGTCTGTCTGTCTGTTTTTTGAAGGTTTTTCTGCTTCTTTTTAAAATTCCCATTGGTCTAGCTATCTGGGAAGTAATGGGAAGAGAGATCACTGCGGTTTCACAGGAATTCAAATAAATGTTTCCATATACCTGAATCTGTGTATTCATACTACTGCACACTCTGTGTCAAGGGTCCCCAAACCATTTTCGTCTGAGGACTGTATAGTAATTCGCCAGAAGGTAATTTGCCAAAGGCCAACATCTTCACATAATAAAATGGAGCAGATGACAGCCACTCTCATAATTAATGTAGACTTGTGGCCCACTGAGACCCTCTGTTGCAATATGCAGTGCTTCATTTTGGCTTAAGTAGTTCACAGTGACCGCGTCTACATGAGATATTACTGCACAGTGGTTACTGCATATTCATTTAGTACTTGTATAAACAAGTACTAAATAAATGTGCAGTAACCTGAGTTACTGCACAGTATTGCCAGCTAACACCTTTTTTGAGAAGCTGTTGCACAGCAGCCTACTACTACTGTACAGTAGCATTGCATCACAGCTTTGCCACAGAATGCTACTGCACAGTAGTATCAGGCTACCATGCAGTCAGTGTCTTGTGTAGATGCACCCAGTTTGTAACAATTGGAAACAGTGCGTCTAAGCCATCTGGTCTCCAGAGGCTGCAGCTTATTAATGAAGATGGAAATGGCTGTGAGTGACATGACCTAATGATACTAGTCACAAGGCATGTCTGCATGAAGACACTTGTACTGCGGAGTAGACTAATCTACTGTACAATAAAGTATCACTGTCTGCATGTGCGTGACATTTACTGTGCAGTAAATTAGTCTACTGCCCGGTTAGCTAGTACCTGTAGATACAAGGTACTAGATTAACTGTACAGTAGCTACTATGCAGTAGAGCACATGTAGATGCTGACCAAATTCACTCCTGGTCAGCCACACCAGGAAGGGGTATAGCCTCCTGCCTGGGGCAGAGCCATGTGGCTGGCACATTTCTCTGTAGTTGGCCCAGGATGGCTTCCAGAGCCCTGGCCTGACCTCTGGGGCTTGTGCCTCCAGCTGCCTGGCCCCTAGGCACCATACCCTTCTGCTGCAGGCATGTGGCAAGCCCCAACAAAACCCAGAATCTCTGCCTGAGTCCTCAGACAGCACCTGGGATGGCAAGCATCCCTGATGTCAGAGCCGTCAGCCTGGGTCCCCAACTGGACAGAGAAAGAGACTGGCAACCTTATAGTGGTCTGGGGTGAGGCAGACATGCAGTGGAGCTTGGCTGGGACACCTGGGCAAACACCCACATCTATGAGGCCATGGCGGTCTACACGTAGGGGCACAGCTGTGAGCAGTCTGGGTGGTTGTGCTGCATCAAGATCAAGGCCCTTCAGGCCTAGTGGTCCATGTCACGGACCAGAACCAGCTGTCCAGGGCTGCCTGCGGGACCATGGCCTTCATGGGGCAGCTGGACCGCATCCTAGCTTTGAGGGCTGCCATGTGGACTACAGCAGAAATGGGCTGCCAAAACCAGCTCTGTGGGCCAGTACTGACAAAGACTTTCTGAGGAAGGGTCCCTCAGGGAACCAGTGGCAGGACCCAGCCCTCACCCTCAGCTGGCAGTGCAGGCAGCCTGGGCTGACACCTGCCCCACCATCTCTGGTCACGCACCCCAAGTGGGGAGGCCAGGCTGGGGATTGCCCCTGTGACAAGCAGCTCCAGCTCCTCCCTGTAGGGGGCCACTGCCCAGGAGGCCAGGCGCCGTGCTGCCACGCCCCGGGACACTGCTGGCAGTCAGACCACCTCGTTGCCACCAGGGACAGAGTCAGACCACCAGGACAACCTGCCACACGTGTCTGGTAAGCCCCACATGGGGAGGAGGGCGGGGGGGAGGGTAAAGGGGTGCTGCAGCCACTTGTACCCATGACAGCTCACCTGCCTGCCCCCAGGCTGTAAGCCTGGAGCCAGGGGCCCTGCAGCGGGGGATCGTGTCCCCCTTTCCCCTTTCCTCCCTGCTCCTTCTCCTCCTAACACGGCCTGGCTGAGCTCCCTCCTGCCCTCCTGACTTTCCCACTCCAACATACAGGGAGGCAGGAGGCAGTTCAGAACTTTGAGCGGCCAATGGCCTCCCAGCTAGGCAGCCATGGGCCTGTAATCGATGGCAGTGGTGATATTCTCCTCAGCCACGGAGGTCAGGTACTTGTAAAATAGGCAGAGATGCCCTCCAAGGGTGGTCCACATTTCAGGGAAGCACAGGCTTTCCTGGGATGCCATCAAAACTGAGGGCCCTGCTCCAGGTTCTCAGGCATGCCCAGGGCACCATGGCAATTAGCAACAGAAGGGCCTAGTGGGTTAGGATCCCTTCGGTGCATTCACACAGCTCGTGGCATGCCTGGCGGACTCTCTGCAGGGGCATGCTTGGGGTGCAGGCCATGTGTGTCATGAGCCCTGGCTCAGGATGCGTCTCCAGAGAGGGCTGCTGGGGAGAGAGTGGGGGGGTGTCACCAGCTCCCTTCCCAGACAGGCAGGAGCCCATCACCCCCTGACATTGGACACTGCAGGCTTGGTAGCATAGGAGAAAATTGCCTGGCCTGTGGAGAGGAGAAAGGGGGGAGCTGGTCCAGAGCTGCTATGGCAGCTGCCAGCAGGAGCTAGCCCTGTCTTAGCCTGGGTAGGGAATGGAGAAGGTAGGCTGCCTGCTGCAGGCAGCAAGCATCCTTCATGCCCCCATGGAGGAAGCAGGGAGGGCTCAGCCAGCGGCAGTCTGTGGCAGCACCCACCTGGCCAGTTTACCATAGTCCTTGGGCATCTGTGTGCACATGACCCTTGATCTGAGGCTGGATGGCACACAGCCTCTTGGTACAGTGCCTGTTATCTCTGAAATGTTGCAAACTCTCAGAAAGAGCATCTTTGTCCTTGCTCTGCAGGTCCAGCAGCTGCACATGGGGAAGAAGCATCAGCCACTGGCAGGGATGCACCTGTGAGATCACTGCCACCATCAGCTGGTGCCCTTCATAGGCACCACCTCATCCCATGGTGCACACAGGAGTGCATCCTCCTGCTGGACCATCTGGTCACAGTGGCAGAGGAGCGGCTTGCAGATTTGCAGTCCTGCTGAGCCCGGGACCTGGCATGAAGCGGGAGTGGAAAAGGGACCAGCAGGACTGTGCCTTCAGAAGAGGCTCCTCATCTTCGAGGAAAGATACATCTCCTTCCTTGAGAGAATGCTCAAGGCCCAGGAGCGGCAGGCCACCATGGTGGCTGAGGCAGTGAAGGCAATAGAGGAGGACCACTGGGTGCTGGATGCCATCCTGGCCCTGGCAGGCACCTTTGTACCACCTGGCATCCAGTCCTTGGCCCTGGACCCACCTGGCCCCTGACAGCCACTTGCAGCCCAGCCCCAGCTGTGCCTGTCCCCTGGCAGCTGCCCGCAGCCCAGCGCCACACCCCACAGTGAGCTTGGGATAAGGTTCAGTGCTGGCTGCAGTGGCCAGGGCCCCTGGTCCTTGCTCCTAAGCTGGGTCTCCCAGCAGCCTTGTCCTTCACCTGGGCTGCCAGCCATCACTTGCCTGGCCCTGAGGAAAAGCTGGCTGCAGCTTGGCTCTGCTGACCCCAGCCTGTAATGAACAGTGCCTGCCCTCACCCCTGGGTGAGCCCTGAGCCTGCCAACCTCACCACAGCATCTGCACCTACAGTGGTGCCACTAAAGCCTGGGGTCTGGGCACCTGTACCTGAGATCCATGCCATAGGTGTTTCCACCCTACTGTTCCCCCCCTTACAGTTCAGAAAGCACATTGTACATAGTTACATGGGAAACAGGCCCTTTATTGTTGGTGCACATTGGGGTTAGGGAGGGGCATATTGCTGGGGAAGGAGGGAAAGAGGGAGTCTTTTGTTGGGGAGGGAGGGAGGTCTGTTGTGTGGTGAAGGAAAATAAAGTTTAGTGTTTGTTGCAGACTACCTGTAAGTGTGCGTGTTCTTGGGGTGGGCCTGGGGTGTCCAGACGCCCTATTGTGGGGGGTGGAGGAGGAGTACCTTGTGGACACAGTGCCCTGTCTGCTGCTGCCAGTGGGGAGGGTGGGGAGTGTCTATGGTGTGCTGGCCACAGGTTCCCAGGACAGTGGCCCTTGCCAGCCTGCCCCCAGAGTCACCTGACAGGCTGTCCCTGCCCCCTGGAACTCCCTTTCAGCCTGAGCCTGCCTGCCCAGAGCTCTCTGCCAGCTTGAGGCTGCCCCCTCAGAACCCCCTGCCAGGCGGAGCTTACTTGCCTGGAACCCTCTAGCAACCTAAGCCCGCTGTCAGCTCCTGAGCCCT